GCGGTGCGGGCAGCGGTGCGGCTGCCAGCAGGGCGGCGCGCGGGCAGCAGGGCGCCGGTCAGCAGGGCTGCGCGCAGCAGGGCAGGCAGCAGCAGGGCAGCGCGCAGCAGGGTGGTGCGGGCAGCAAGGCATCTCAGCGTAGGCAAGGCAGGGCGACGCGCAGGCAGGGCAGGGCGGGGCGGCTGCAAGCAATGCGGCGCGCGGGCAGGGCAGGGCGACGCGATGGCCAGCAGGGCAACGTGACAGGCAGGGCAGGGCGACGCGACGGCCAGCAGGGCGATGCGACAAGCAGGGCAGGGTGACGCGACAGGCAGGGCAGGGTGACGTGACAGGCAGGGCAGGGCGACGTGATTAGTGGGGCAGCGTTATGCGGTGGGCCCTAAAAAAAACGGTCCTGGAACAGAACCTGCTCTGAAACCATGTCATAATACTGAACGAGAATGAATGCATTGAGCAGAAAGTTGGTACAAGTACTAACCCTAATTGGGTTGTACCCCTTATGGGCTACCCCACTACAGCCTACACAATGTAAGCATTATAACATTTTTGACACCTACATCGGCATCACCCTTGATGAGAGCACCGAGAGGGTGCATGGGAAGCACCTTATCATGTACGTCTCGTACCTGAAAAGCGACGAGGTCATGACAGAATTTCTCTCCCTGCTGACGGTCGAGAAGGCAGACGCCGCAAGCCTTCAAGACGTGCTGCTCACGCATCTACAGGCAATCGGGATCGACATTGGGAAAATCGTCGGAACAAGCATTGACGGAGCTTCGGTCATGATTGGAGAGCACATTGACCTTGTCGCGCGTCTCCTCACTAAGAACCCATACCTTTCTACATGTCATTTTATTGCCCATCGGAAAGAAAAAACTTTTTTTTTTTTAGTGAATGTCTATCGTTCAGTATAATGCATCAATTATGTTTTCCTGTATTTAACCAACTAATGTATTTGCTTGTCTCTTGCAGAGTGGCACTTGCCGCCAAGGATGCTGCGATCAAACTGTCAGACTTCGAAATCGTCGACAAGGCAGTTCGGATAGTGGCGACGATGTTGTCGTAGTGTCCATTCACCATAAGCGCATCCGCCAACTTCAAGAAATTGTATGCGAGACGAACCTCGAGTTGCAGGGCATTCGTGCCGTGCGCTGTTATCATGGGGGTGTTGAAATGTATTCGTATACATTTATAACTGCTTACAGTAGAGCCTAGTGTAGTTATAATATTGCAGGTGGTGCACCATTGCATCCTCCTTTGCCTATATCCTTGTACCCTTGTTCATTATTCAATCCCTCTTTTGACAATTCTCTCTCGACATGTTCCTCTCGACCTTCCTTGACTCTCCCCTCTCCCGTAACCTAGCTTTTTACAGGGGGGAGGCGGTGAAGAGGTTCGCCAAGGTACTGCCAGCGACTGTGCTCTTGCTGCATGAGAACAAGAACCCGATGTATGAGGTATGCACGCGTTCGTAACCCCGCTGGATGCCAATGTGCAATCCGCCAAATGTCACAATTAGTCTGCTTTTTACGTCGACCCGACATTTGGCGAGCATTACGTCATCGTGTTGACCATCAAGTTTCAACAGTCTACTGTACTGTGCGCTCCGGAGCATCGCCCCTCCCAATCACCTGCCTGCACGTGAACGATGAGGATCAACACAACATTGTATCCGCGCCCTTCATTTTTAGAGTTCGTACCCAATGTCGCTGCACCATGTGTGACACACGCTTGCACATTATTCGTTGAAATTCCAGTCTGCATCTGGCTGACCCCTTACGTGTACGCGCCAGATGACGTTGAAATATGACCACGTGTATGGCTGTAATTTTACATTTGACCCTTGTTCTACCCATGCATATCGATATCCCACCGTCCACGCCTAGGTGCATCGACGATACTGCACCACCCATGCCCCCATCCCATGTTGAATTATGCAACGTGTTCACTCGGGATGCCGTTGACAGTCACCGACCTGTACGGCCTAAATCATGTGACGCACGGATTTGTCCTCCACCTGGCATGCATCCTACCGTCCACAATTCCACACATCGACGACACTCGTCGCACTGCGGTTCCTCCATCTACGGCTGTAAACGTTCGTCACGCCCAGATGGATGCCATCATCTCACGGCATCCAACGGCGCTAGGTCAAGCCGCCTATTAACATCGGAGGATTCCTTTTGGCCGTTACGCATCCCTAGCGGTAGCAATGCCGCAGTATGGTTCTTGGGGTTATGAATACTCTTCTCAACATGCACTTGGGTTTGTGTACGCAATGAGTTTGAGCGACGGTATCTGACCATTCTCGATAGTGCTTCTTATATCCTGCTTCAATTACATATTCTCTCTACTCACTCCGTAAGCAACCTCCTCGCCCAGACACTAACCCCCCCACCTAAGGCAAATTAACTCTTCAAGGAAGAGTTCGTGTCAGAGAGCATCATGGCGCAGACTAACGGCTCGGGGAGCCCCCATTTCAGTTATGCCTGCGGAGCCCCAAGGCTGGCGCTTGCTTGGGCGCTCGCGGTCCTCCCGCCAGCTATGCCGTCCATAGAGATGCGGAGACCATGGCGGCCCTAGGCCCACGACTGAGACGCCGCATCGTACTCGGGCCTGAACTCAGCGATGGCTCGGGTAACAGCACTCTTAACAAGGACGTGGAGGCCGTCCACGATGTGCGCGTTACATCCTGCGGAGTTTGATAGGCGGCCCTTGCGCGCCTCCCAGTTCCGGATTGCATGTGTCACCTGGGCACAGCACCGCACAAAAGCACGCATATGAGAATTCCAAAGGCTGGGAAACCATACCATTTTAATACGATGGTGAGTCTTCATACCACGTGCTCCAGCCAGGCCATGTGGTACAGCTTCAGCGTCACTGTCCCGTTCACCATCCTTGGCCTGAACGCCGCTCGTGCGCATGTGGTAAATGCGCCAGGCGCGAAGGGAATCCTGTTACGGTCGTAACTCCAGCGGGAGAGTGCAAGCCTCTCTGAAACATTCATCACACAGGACATGTGCACACATTAGACACGAGGCTTTCTCCATTATTCAACGTGAAGGCATTAAAAGTACTACCAATGATCGTACCCGCGTCGACGTCTCCGAGGCCGACCCTATCCCGGACCCTCGCCAGTGTACGCATAGAGGGTGCCGCCCAGGGGCTTTTTGCGTCACGCTCATTGCAAAACAACCCTAGCTTAGGTAGCGAGATGTCGCGGACCCTCCCAGCAGCACCCGTCTTCCAATCGCTGAGAGACCTGTTGAAGTCGACACGACGTGCCTTGTCAGCCGCGAGTGCAAGGCTTGCGTAGTTGACAGGGAGGTTATCAACGACTGCGCATATGCCCCAAATCTTGGCGGTGCTGCTCGGGTGGAACATCAAATGCTTGTTGGGCCGCCAAGGGTTGCGAGCCTGCTCACATATTTGCTGCAGGGGCGACAGACGCTGCTCATCATCAATTGGCCCACTTGGTCCGCAAAATGCAGAAGCGCAAAATACACCCGCTTGGCGAGCATCACGTGAAGCGTACCTTCCCTCCCTTGTCGGCAGGCAGGAGACTGAGTGCCTCTTGCAGAATCGCCGATGAGGACAATCGAATGTGACCCTCCAGTCCTTCATCGGCCTCTTCCTCATCCTCGGACGCCGTCTCCGATGTGGACCATGTACGACGCGCCTTACGTCGCTTTCCATTGCCGGATACGCGCTTCCGACGCCTCTTCCTCTTCTGTTCGCCGTCACCTGCAGGCTTTGCAAGAAACACAGATTCCAGCCTGGCAATTGCACGTGCGGTAGCTTCATGCAGCTCGCGCAAGCTGGTCATCTCCTCCCGCGTCACCAGAGCTTCATCCGGCCAAATTTCCGCGCCAGCGTCCTCCTCATCCGCGCCTGCTTCTTCTTCGTCCTCGGCTTCCGCAGCATCTTCGTCATCGCTCTGCACGGGGTTGAGCCTCGGGAGGGCCTCATTGGGATCGTCATCCAAAGATGCAGCTGGCGGTGCTTCGGGTTTGCCTTCTTGGTGCGCGGACCCCTGGAGGACTTTGTTAACGTTGCGTTTGCGCCGGCGACGCGACGACTCCCCTTCCGCAGCATCCTCCTTGTCCTGCCGGCTGGACCGTGCGGTTGACGAGCTACTGTCGGACGTGCTGCCATGCGACATACGCGAGTCTCCGCCCCCATGGGAGGGAGTAACAGCTGCATCATGTAAGTGTGACGACACTAGATTAGTACCGTTATATTGGCCCCAAGCAATGCAGCACACAGAATTAAACACGGGTATGCCAAAACCAATCCATAAATCATGCCGACTTACGCGGGGGCAAAAGAGGAGCCCGTGCCTGCTGCGCATTGGCGTTTTTTGGAAGAGACCGACGAGGTTTCTTCGCCACTTGACGCCTTACTGTGCCAGGCAGAAGGTAAGAGTTCAGCAGGTAAGCTGGAGGCTGGGACACGCGTTGACTCCTGCCCTCACAGGACGAGACGGGTCCTGCGGTAAAATTGTCCATTGACGCTAGTCGTGTGGGCAGGAATTAGTCCATTGGGCACAGACTGTCTGTACTTATGCAGTGAGTGACCCATCCTGACCTCTGCTCTGCCGTGTCTCCTTCCACGTGGCCCGCCCTTGGCTGCCAGACTAGTTTCGTCATTCGCTGAATTTGCATACATTATCCACAGCCCTCGATACGGCGTCGCATCCGTGCCTCCCTAATATGCCTACATCAGTACACTTATCAGCAGACATAGTGCACAACACATACGACATCACTTGTGGGATAACTACAGGTAAACAAAGACAAAGCAATAAATGTATTGCTCTTATGTACACATTTCCACAATCCTTGCCATTTCCTTACACATAAGGCTAATCCAACCACTAGCACGCACACACGTTTTTCACTCTCAACAAACAGGCTACAAGCCAAGGATCCTATCCAGCATGGGATCATATAACAGTTCATGTGTACGCCTGCACAGAACGAGTGGAATAAGTGACGCTCCTACCCCAGCTCTGGCTCCTGCGTCTCCTCGTCAACGGCATCCTCCTTCAGTGTCAGTGGGTACTCCCCTTCGTCATCACCATTGCTGATAGCAGGTGAGTGGGAACCTCCATTTTCAAGAGGGAAGGGAGTCCCAGATGCAATGCCCACTTCTGCCATTGCTGTCCTCCACTGACGTCACCTCCACCACAGACGAACCTTCACAAGGTGCCTCACATCCTATCTGACACACCCATCCAGCGCTGCCATCTCTGTATCAGTCAGCACCTTCATGTGCGGGATGTGATCCTTGCGCCGGATCACGTACGCAGCCGCGGCATAGGCATATGCCGCATCGTCCTCCACGTTGTATGCACCAAGTCTGATCTGTTGTCCCGTACCGGGTCCGCACACCATCTTCACCCCCCACTTACGGCCACGGGGACACCAGCTCGCCTTAGTCCACTGGCTTGAAGTAGGACGATTGCCGTATGCGGATTGCATACTGATCTGACGCACTGTGCGTGATTCCTCCCTTCCTCCCAGACGACTCCTAGCCCTTCGAGTCCGACAAGGCCTACCTGGTGCTTCCGGTGTTCCTGGAGTCGTAGGATTCTCGGATTCCTTCTTCGTGGGCACGGCTTCAGGTGGTGACCCGGGCCTTTGCCCAGGAGAGGTAACATCGTCTTCAGCCCAAACTGGCGATGGCACTGGCAGCGGGCATGGTGTAGCATGGATGGAGCTGGCGAGCGCCTTCATCGATGCCGCGTGATCCACCTGGTTATGTGACGTCGACAACGACAGTAGAGGAGTCCCGTGGGTCTGGAGCTCATGGGCTGCACCGCTTAGCAGCTGCTCCTCAGATATCCCACACGCGCGTGCCAGACTTGTTACCCCCGCGCATACCACGTAACCCCCAAGCTCCATCCGGGTTACCATGCCGGACTGCCTTGCCAGGTCGGTATGCACTTCGTTTTCCTTGGGAAACACTAGGGCCCAATACTCACCCAACTGGGGGAGTGGCTGCAAGGGAACCTCTAAACCATGTCGAAAGAATGAACGAGAATGATTGCAAGTTGGGTACAATTACTAACCCTAATTGGGTTGTACCCCTTATGGGCTACCCCACTATAGCCTACACAAAGTAAGCAATAAAATATTCTGACACACCCCCAAAGGCAAAGTGGGGGAGAACAAGTGGTCACAAGTCCAGTCAAGAAAAGCAAAGCAAGCTCAGGGTGGATCACAAAGTCACCACATAGTCCGAGCACAAGCAAAGGGCCACAAGGCCAGTTCACATGCAGTGTTATAAAAAGAGCACAAACAGTACAGTGATCATAGCCTAGTAAAAGTAGGCATGCAGGCATATATATAGATCACAGTACAAGCAAAGTCAAGAAGTGAGCAAGTGAGGGAAAGTAGGCACAAGGCCTAAAACAGTAGAGAAGCGCTGATGATCACTAGGCTGAAGTGCCTTGGTGAATATATCAGCAGTGTTGGCCCTAGTGGCCACGTACGCAAGACGAAGCTGACCACGCTGCAAGGAAGTATCGCAAAGCGATGTGCTTTGTTCTGTGCTCCAGTCTGTGCTTCTGACACAAGGCAATCATGGCCTTGTTCTCTACGTACAGAACTGGAGGCGAACGAGGCTGCTCTCCCAAGTAAGTCAGCAGGTAGGTGAGCCAGCGTAGCTCCTGTGCAGCCATGGCCCCGGCGTAGATCTCAGCCTCACAACAAGAGCTGAGAACTGAAGACGAGCGAGTAATGCAGTACCCTCTTCGCAGCATCCCAGTGCACCTTTCGGTGCCTACCAGGAGCCACGTAGCGAGCCAGGAGGCTAAGAGGGTACGCGAGGTCAGGTCGTGTGCACATCATCAGGTACATGAGGCAACCCACAAGCTCTGGGTACGGACCACTCGACTCTACGGACTCGTCCGAAGGTGGAGCTGAGAGTGAGTGGCCGGTAGACAGAGGAGTGGGCTGTGGCGAGGAGAACTGGAAGCCGAAGCGCTGAAGGACTTGGTGCACCATGTGTGACTGAGTCAGTGTGATGGTGCACCGTTCGCTGTCCCGGGTGATCTGCAAGCCAGGATAGCTGCGCAGTTCACCCAGGTCAGTGCAGGTGTGTCTCTTTTGTAGCTCTGACTTCACAAGGGTCAGTGCCTCTGTGTCAGCAGTGGCAAAGACGAGGTCATCGACATAAACAAGGACGTAGAACGGTGGCAGCGACGTGTCGGTGCATAAAAACAGCGACGGGTCAGCAGTAGAAGGAGTAAACCCCAGAGCCGCAAGTGTAGTCCTCACTGTGTCGTGCCACTCGCGAGGCGCCTGGCGAAGACTGTAGACTGGCCGCCGGAGGCTCCACTCGGTACCTGCAGGAAATGACCCAGTGAAGCACGGTGGGCGGCGCAGCCAGATCTCCTTGTGCACGCTGCCCTGCAGGAAAGCTGTGCTGAAGTCCAGAGAGTGCAACTCGTAGTCACGCTGAGCAGCTACGTGCAGCAACACCCGAAGAGTAGTCATCTTTGGGGTGGGGGAGAAGGTCTGGAAGTAGTCAACCCCCTGTCGTTGTCTGAAGCCTCGAGCCACGTAATGCGCCTTGAAGGCAGGCGGAGAACCCGGCGGCCGCTTCACCCTGAAAATCCACATGCCATCGACTATGTTCGACCGAGACGAGGAAACTGCGTCGACATAGGTGCCTGTGGACTTCCAGGATGTCATCTCGGCATCCATGGCTGCCTAGCACTGAGAGGAGCAAAGACCCGTAATCGCCTCTGCGTAAGAGCACGGGGTCGGGATGTCTGGTGCATCCGGGTCTCCCTCAGGGGCAAGCAACATGGAAGCGAAACGAGGTACAGCAGCTGCAAGAGACTCAAAGTCCTCCTGCCTGTCCTCAAGGACGTCCGTGCCAAGAGCACTCTCACCCCTGATGGATGGAGGACTGGCGGACTCAGACTCAGCAAGAAGAGCAGTGGCGTAGTCTAGACGACAGGCAGCAGCAAAGTCAAGTAGCTCAGCAACGAGGGCACACGCAGCAGTGGACTCAAAGGAAGGGTCAGTGACAACAGAGGCAAGGAGATGAGAGACAGTGGGACTGGCAGCACGAGCGCGGTCAGACTCAGGGTCAGGGACGGCAGAAAGAGAGGACTCAGGAGGAGGCGGCAGAGGAATACGCAGTGGAACAGAGGAAGGACGAAGTGTCATAGCGTGTGTGCCGGGGACAGGAGGAGGACACGGACGAGGAACGCGGCGACCAGTGCGAGACGAGACGCAGGGTCACGACGCTCTGTAAGACCGCCGGTCTGCTTAGTGTAAGGAGAAGGAGCAGGTAGTGGGGAGGCTGGCTGCAACGGCGGCTGCGACGAGTCAGGCGGTGGACACAGTAAGGGAGGAGTAAGGCCAGTAGAAGACGGGACACCAAGAACCTGCTGAAGCAAGGGAACGAAGTACAATCGCGGCCGCACAGTGCCTCCAGCACCTCCAGCTCCAGGGTCAAGAGCTCCAGCTCCTCCAGCTCCAGCGCCTCCAGCGCCAGTGCCTCCAGCTCCAGCGGCAACGGCCCAAGCTCCTCCACCCCTAGCAGCTCCAGGCTCCGTAGGGTCTCCAGCTCCAGCTCCCCCAACACCACCAGTTCCGGCATCTCCAGTACCCCGGGTACGAGCACCTCCAGGACCAGCAGCTGCAACACCTCCAGTACCACCAGCTCCAGCAGTAACTCCAGCACATCCAGCTCCAGTGTCTCCAGCGGCAGAGTCTCCAGCTCCGGCAGCTCCACTCCGAAGGCGGGTGCGCCATGCAAACCACTCGCGCAGCTGCTGCGGGGAGAGAGGCTCCGACCGGGGAGAGAGTCGTGGCAGAGCACCCACAGGACCTCCAGAAGAAGCATTACCCCTCGACTCAACAACCCCAAACGCAGTACCATAAGGCTCCACACCCTCAGGCTCAGCACCCCCAGGCTCCACACCCGCACGCTCAGCACCCCCAGGCTCCACACCCCAAGGCTCAGCACCCCTAGACCCGGCACCCTCTGACTCTGCACCCCCAGGCTCCGCACCCCCAGACCCGGCACCCTCAGACTCTGCACCCCCAGGCTCGGCACCCCCAGGCTCCGCATCACCAGATGCAGCACCTCCAAACGTAGCACCTAGAGCAGCACCTGAGCCGACAGCTACCTCAACAGGCGCAGTACCAAGGAGAGGGACTACCTGAGACACACCTAATAAAGCAGGACCCTGGGGGGCGAGGGAGTCTACCGGAGGGGGACCTGAAGCAGAGCGGTAGGGGAAGAGACGGTAAAAGGGAACCAACTCGTCAAACGTGACATCTTGAGAGGGGAAGACACGGCGCGAGCTGGGGTGGTAAAACTGCAAGCCAGGCGCGTCAGGGGAAAAGCCAAGGAAGACGCAGGGAATAGCACGGGCGGAGAGCTTGTCCGCGGACGTATCGCGAACAAAGGCACGAGAACCCCAGACCTAGAACACCGACGCATCGCCAACCTTCCCCGTCCAACGCAGTGTAGGCGAGGTCTTTGGCAAGGAGACATGGGGCCAAAGGTTGAGGTAACGCGCAGCGTACCGGACCACAAACGGCCAGAGAAAATGGGGAGCAGCCGCATGGATCATGGAGGTACGAGCAACCTCCATGACTAGGCCAATGCGACGCTCAGCAATCCCATTTTGCTGAGGGGAGTCCAGAAGCGTGAACGACTGGAGAATGCCCTCCCCACGACAAAAGTCCCGCAAGAGGTTGGAGGAGTGCAGACGTAGGACAAGAAGGTCCGTACGGAACCGCTCGCGGAGCTGTAGACGGACTGTGCGGATCCAGGGGATCAAGACATCAACGACCTGACCCTTGCTGCGCAAGGGGTGTCAGAATGAAGAAGTGATTGAACTATGAAAGATGAGCGTACAAATATGAAACCCTAGAGTTGTGTACCCCCTAAAGGCTAACCCACTATAGCCTACACATCAATAACATATATGATAATGTTTGACACACCCCCATAGGCAAAGTGGGGAGAGCAGGGGGTCACAAGACCAGTCAAGAAAGGCAAAGCAAGCTCAGGGTGGATCACAACGTCACCACACAGTCTGAGCACAAGCAAAGGGCCACAGGGCCAGTTCAAATGCAGAGGCATATATAGACAACACAAACAGCAAGGTGATCTCAACCTAACAAAACAAACAAGCAGGTATATATATATATATATAGATCACAGTACAGACAAAGCCTACAGTAAGTGAGGAACAGTGGGCACAAGCCCCAGGACAGTACAGAAGCGCTGATGATCACCAGGCTGAAGTGCCTTGGTGAATATATCAGCAGTGTTGGCCCAAGTGGCCACGTAACGCAGACAAAGCTGACCACGCTGCTGCAGCTCTTGAGCCAGGAAGTAACGGAGAGCGATGTGCTTCGTTCTGTGCTCCAGTCTGTGCTCCTGACACAAGGCAATGGCAGCCTTGTTGTCGACGTACAGCACTGGAGGAGAACTAGGCCGCTCTCCC